TACTTTCGCTTGTATCTACTTTAATTAATATATTTCTGTAATAACGTTCTCTGTGTTCTACAGTCTTCAAATCATCTATGGTACCTTGATACATCAATGGGGTAGTCCACGTAAGGTGCTGACCACGAGGTGTGACTTCGATGTTAGCTAGTTTGTCACACCATTCACGTCTAACTCGAGTAGGCCTCCAATCATTTTCGACATAGATCATCTACGTTGGTGATCTACAAGTGCAACAGAGGTTCGCTGGAATTCGCTTCCACACTGTTGAATAGCGGATAACTAAGAAATTTTGATGTGAGTTTGTGTAGATGCTTGAAATCGACAGAATATTTTTTTCGTTGTGCAGGTTGTGGAATTATTTGAAGGAGGATAAAGAGGTGGATACCGAAGCATAAGGAATACTATACATAAGACAGTAGATTGAGGTTGATTTAATACGCCTGATCACGACAGATCCAAACTTGAGTTGTTGGAATTCTTGTGGACTACTCTTACTGTAGGAATACCCCCAAAACCTTTGATGAGTCTCTCTTGAACACATTCAATTTTCATTAAATCATCCGCAATTACCATAAACTAAAATACCATTTTCAAGGATAGATATGATACTTTCTTTACATAACACTAATCCAGATCCCATGTCATTGAAATTTATCGTTATGAATCCAGTATGCTTTCTTGCTTTGGATACTTACTATGCAATGTGCTCAGAAGAGTTCAAAATTTCCTTATACCTTAAACCCAAGTCGTGAACAGTGTTGAGAATTTTCAGTATGTGTTTGTGTAGAAACAGATCCATGTTAGCTCTGAGCCAATGCAAAACAATCCACTTTCATCAAAATTCAGCGACAGATTCCACCACACAACCTATTTGTATAACCTGTTTATTTCTTCTTGGATTATAGTTGAAATATGACTTTTTGGTAGAAGATCTATCGTACTGAAAGAGTTAGTACATATCATCAAAACGTTTGCTTCTTCAACCGGTCGAAAGTAGTATATTCTGTCGCCTATTAGCGTTATTCATTCTAATCAGTAGCTTAATAATTTCATTCTCCTGGTTGTCACGACAGAATGTTCTTCTTGACAAAAACGTGAGTATGGTTACTTAGTTGGGTTGAGAAATGAGTTTGTTACTGAATGCAATCTAAGCATAAATAATGAAAGGTTTATATACGAACCATGATCTGTCAGAGTCATAAAGAGAGAACCTTTAGGCTTTCGTTATAAACTCTCTTCCTTTTCCTCGATACAACGCTGTGAGAGTCCAATTGATACTTGAGACCTTGGTAAGTTGTTAAAGCAAACGATCATGGAATTCAGGACGTCCATCACTAGTGATAAGCCATGGAATGTCGAAGTGGGAGGCTAATTTCTCTATAAGTGCTTCAGCGGCACATTCAGCTGAAAATCCACAAGACGATTGACTGATAATCGCCCTGAGGACCTGCCTGTTCAAGGGAAGATGCAACGGAAACAAATTGAAGGAGATAATAGTTCAATGGTATCAGTATGAAGTGATCAGACCTGACATTCTCAATGGGAAGGGATTGAGTGGAGCATAACTATATAAGTTAATTTCATGTTTCCATCAATTAGTATGCATCTTTGGACTCCTGTGGTGTTTGAATGAACTAATGATTCCTTTGTACTTGTTGAACGCATGATTTCGAATTCTAAATGCAGTACATTCGTTTGTGCTTACCTACTACTTCTTGATCCGATTACGTTATTTATGGGATTCTTAGTTCATAATATAATTCAAATACTCCTAATTATCATAATTCTGCGACCCTAAAATCTGAGTGTTTTAAAGTTATTTTGTGATCTGATAATTTCCCAAATTAAACTGCACTTTAGCAGACGAAAATAAGAACTGTAATTTACAACATATAGGTCGCACTTTAAAAATATGGTTCTCGTCTAGTTTGGAGATACTTTTTCTTAGAGAGAGTGTGCATGGGGAGAAATTTGCTACTGACGACAGCACAAGAGTAAAAATAAGACGATTCGACAATGAAAGTTAACAGCTCGTAGTTTTAAACGCGTTACAAAACTGGGATATGTAGCACGCCAAGTCAAATTGTATTGCTATTTTAGATCGAGATATATAGCATACGTCATTTAACTGCACAATTATTCGCCACAAACCTTTGTAGTCTATTACAAAGGAGGACGAGATCACCCGCTACTGTTCAAGACAACGTGCTGAAAACTTTGTTGCTACTACCGTCAATGTGGGGAAAGTTGGAAACAAGGATGGAGGTGTCTTGGACATTCTTTGATTCCACAACACCGATTTGAGAATATTTTGTGCGAACGGCACATGAACTAATAAGAAAGAACTTGACAATGAGCAAGTAGAAAGGCGTATTAGGCTCTTATGCTGAAGTATCGTAAAGTCTGACATACAACTTGGGTTCTTGTAACAGAAAATGGGTTCTGACGAAATTTGAAGTGGGATCTCGTGTGTGTACTTTATCGAGCGCCTTAACTTTCCCAGTCTTGTGAAACCAACATGGTCAGCATCATGTTAAGTGCTCACAAAAGCTATTTACGACAAAGTCCTTTTATCGTGCCTCGAATGATAACTGGCACGTCTAGCTATAAAAAAATGTACGCTGAAGAAAATCCTCCGTCGTATGCCTAGAATGATTTGTGATTAGAACGACAATAGCTCTGCTAAATACACTACATTTGACTGAATATAATCCACTCTCCTCAAGAAGAAAGCAGATGACTGTTCACAAGCATCCACTTTATGTTTCATCACTTCCTCGATGCATTTGTCATAAATAGTCAAAGTACTTATCCGTTTGCCAAATTAATAGTTTCTAGCTAGCACCTTTCAATATTTTCAAACTACTTGGTAGCTTCCCAGATAGGTCGAAAGAACGTACCTACAGAAAGTCATCTAGCTAGGGCAAATAGAAATGAGCCAGTCCTAGAAATCGAAATAACTTCTTAGAATAATCTAGTAATGGATGATCGTTCTTACTTCAAACGTTGCTTAAAGTGGACCTGCACTCTAAAATTCATAGAGTAGTTGATTTCTTATAACCGGCAGCACTAGTAGTGATAACCAGCTAGTGTTATTTCAAACACTTATGAACCAACAAGAAGTTAGTGCCAATTCAGTCAAAAAAGTTTCATTTTCCATCGGAAATCTGCAACAGTCAGCCTTGGTCAAAAGTAATGAGAATTCATTTCAGCACAAAGACAATGGTATAAAATTCAGTCTGTGTCATGGCCTTAGAATATATGAGAATATGAAAAAATCTGATGAAATACTACTAAACTCAATAAGACCAGGACTTCGAAAAGTCCAAGAAAGAACACGAACTTGAATTATCAAGTGTGGAAATATTTTGTGCTATCGTGAAAGATCTAAACATAACATAAAATGCTTAATTTAAACGTTCAGTGCATGATTTATTCAGTAAAACATCTAGTCATAATGAACATAAACAATTTATGCCCCTTTGTTCCCTCTCAGCTATTTTTACGGAGTATTTTCTAGGTTTTCTAATTACAATGAGCTTAGACACCAGTACATACGGTATGTAGCCAAAGCACATACAAATCTTCACCAGCCAAGAAATTTTATAACACCATTTAAAACGTACGCCTGGCTTCATCTCAAGAATCATAGTACTGTTGTATTTCCTCTCCTCAAAAGAGTTATAAATCTCTTAGACCGAGTACAGAGATGGGCTGCAAAGTTAGTGACATGACTGACGGAAGGTAAGCCGAGGGCAGAATTAGCCACTTATAGTTCGCCATGGATTTTAGAAAAATCGGATGTAATTTGATAGCCGTACATAAAATACTCAGTACGTCAAGTCACCCCAAAAAGAATTCTATGTGAACTTTAATAACCTTGTCCTTACACTTTTTTACATTATACTGTCGGCATATTCAAACGACTTACTTTGGCTGACGATTTTCTTCTGGTCGTTCTTCAAAATATTAACTTTACCTTTTCAAGTTGCCACCAGACATTTTCTTGCCTGGTAAGGCGATAGCTGACAGTCCCACAAACTATGCTGTCCTTGGATACTTAAGCTCAAGATCAAACTCTGTTGAGCTATTCATAACTATTGCGGTTGTGTGGATAAGCTAATAATAACGGAAGGTTCTAAAGACCTGAAACTGCTTAGTAATGTCAAGATGTGAGCATAGCAATATCCTCTAGTTTACACAAACTCATAGTAAGTTTTGGGACACTGAAAAATCTAGGTAAAAACATTGCTAAACAACAATAAAAATATAAAGGGTTTAAAAAGTCTTTAGTCATTTGTCGCTGAGACTATCATGGAAAACTGTTGGTATTCTTCAAGAAATACATCACTGAAGTTTTCTAAAGCCTTTTGAAACCGACGACTGAGCGCCAAACACAGAGTTGGTTTATTCTTGCTATCCCAATTAAACTGGGCGAGCCATTAAATTAGTTCGGGGACTCAGATTCAAACTGGATCAAGAGAACCTCAAAACACTGTATCCCTACCCATTACAATGTAGGCGTCTCAAGGCCGAAATAATGACTCAAAGAATCGTGAATACTTGTGGACACCGCTTTAGACACTTACTTAAGCCCAGCCTCAACACAAAACTTAGGAGCAGCACCCAGAAGCACATGACAGAATGTACTGTAAGCACAATTTCTTCTCCTCTAAAGTAGATGAATTCTTGACTTATCTGCCCGATGGGAAGGTCTGAGATGCTTCTCGGAAGTCCTACAACAGGAAAAATGAAATTCTTGAGGATTTACGACAGTATTTCACTACGACTAACAAGTATTTCTCTTTCGTTTGTCAAATGTATTATTAAGTCCGTACCTGGAGACCTCGGTAAAATCGAACGCTTCTTCTATTCCGTCTACAATCATTTTAACCATTTTGATGTCAGATATTCATTGGACATTTCCAGTTGTCTGTGTGTCTTTCAAATTTGTCGGTTACATGTAAGAAGTTTTTTTGCGTTGGCTGGCTGCTGACATGATGATGGGAACCAAAACAGCATCGGAAGACGCCGTTTTGCTTAATGTGCGAGATGAAATGCAACAATTCGATAACGACAAGACATGGAATGTTGTATATGAAGTATGAATCCCCAGCTCTATATTGATTGTTCTAGCAATTAAAAAATAAGTCTACAGTTCTGACCCAGAATTCTCCAGTTGATGCCGCTAGGGATGTCAAAAACCGATGGAAGAATCGCTACCGGGATGTTAGTCCGTGTAAGTCAACCAACAGCCTAAACATTTCCTTAGTTGACTCTACCAGGGTTTTCCTATGTAGCGCTCGTGATGGTGACTATATTAATGCAAGCTTTGTCTTCATTCCGGAGGTGCCTTCCAGAAAATATATACTCACTCAGGGTCCAATGCAGCAAACTGTGAATCATTTCTGGCTAATGGTTTGGGAGCGACAGTGCCCTGCCATTATTATGCTCAATCGCCTTGTTGAAAAAGGCTCTCTTAGGTGTCATCCTTATTTTCCTTATGATGGTGGTCCTTCTGTACTAAAACTAGAAGACGTTAACCTAAATGTCGAGTTGGAGTGTGAGATAAATGCAAAAATATTTATTAGTCGGAAATTCATCATTACAAACATTAAGGTAAAACATTTTGTCATAGTCTTCACATAAGCACTTTTTATCAGCTCATCTTTCTGATAAAAGTAATCAATATTGGCTATATAGACAACTCAATCAATTAGAAAAGTTTAGTTTTAGAAAAGTGTAGTACAAGCTAGAATATTTAGAATGAACAAATGTTTAGTAACTCGTGAGTTATTGACTAGTGCACAAAGACGCTATGTTTATTAATTGAAGTTAAGAGTTAGAGTTAGATTGAAAGGATGTCGTACACGACAATCATGTTTATAGTCATAGCGATGAGTACTTATGAAGATAGTTCTTTGACTTCAGATGTTAAGGTTTATGTATTTTGAATTGTGCTTGTATTAGTGTTGTGACTAGTGAGATCAATCTACGTATAATGAATGTCAAAGGAGCTTGTGCTAATTCGAATGATCTCTAACGCCTTCGTGATGTTATTCTGGCTGTAGAAGGTCGGGTTACAGCTCATCAACGAGAGTTGTGCTATGTGCTTAGTAAACCTGTTTTTTCCAATTTCAGGTTCTTTAACGACTCCGCGTTCGATAACCGTTATCTCCGAAGGATTGCTGACATTCACTGGCAAAACCATGTCAGTAATCCTGAAGTTCGGTAATTTATCCTGGGCCAGTGGTGTTAATTCGGTGTCGCCATCTTGAAACACTGGCTTCGGTAGCGAATGTCGTCCAGTTTCAGTTTGGGAAGGACAGGAGGCTTGATGGCCTGTGTTAGTCCTGGCAATTGTGGTCTCTCAGTTGATCCAACTTTTTTTTGAAATAGTCGACGGATGGAGCCTCAACCACGTGCTGAGGTAATGAATTCCACTTGTTGATGATTCGGTGGGAAAGTCGATAGTCAGCTGACAAGTAATTTGTTCTGGGCTTGTGAACTTCTTTGGAGTGTCCTCGTAAATTCTCAGTTTTGGAAGACACGAAAAATGTGGGCATATCAGGTGCAAATTTATCACTAAGCAATTTGAAGACTGTAATCAAGTCACCGCTAGCTCTGCGATATGACAACGGGAAAAGGTTCAGCCTGGCCAGTCGAGCTTCATACGGAAGCTTCGCTATTCCGGAAATCAGCTTAGTCGCCGTTCTTTGAACCTTTTCCAGAAGCTCATTGTCTTTTTTTAAGCAGGGGCTAGCCGCTTGTATGCAGTACTCAAGTCTAGGACGTACGAACACTGTATACAAAGTCAAAAACGTCTTGGCGTCGACATGACTAAAAGCCCTACGTATTGACCATAAGGTTCTAAAACCTTTGGCGGCTATTGCACGGCAGTGCGCAGTAGTCTTTAAGTCTTGGCTAACGATAACTCCTAAGTCATTATATGTCTGGACGACAGGTAGCTCAGTGTTATTCATCATGTATGTATCTGTACCTTGATGACCGATAGGCATCCCACCAGTTTCCACACAGTGCTTTATGTTCGACTCTGGAACTTGTCAGAAGAAGTGGACAGGGTCAGTTTATGACATGATATCGCTATATGGAAGAAAGCTTTATAAGAATAGCGTCTGTCGACCCACTATAACTTTATTGGGAGCTTAGCGATAGTGCAACTCATTGTCTCGGGACGTTATCAGACATGATCAGAGTAAAAGTCAACGATGGTCCTGCTATAATTATTTTTTACATCCCTAAAGGTAAATGGTTGTATTGGTAACTAAACTGCATCCTGTTCTATACTACGCTTGTTCATCTTTATTTTCCCCCTCTTTAAATACACTCCCTTACTCCCATTTTTCATGACTGATCATTCTGTTGTCTTACACCTAAACTGACCTAAAAAATGTGAAGAATAAGCTCGACCAGAAACTCAACTACAACTTCGTGTGACCTGGCTCGTGCAAGAATGGTATGATATGGAAGATCCACCTAGGGGAGTTGGAAAACCTTGATTCCAAACAAATGGTGTATGAACTCATTGTGGGTCACCTGCTACCGTGAGACTGCATCTCCTAACGTTGTTTGACTGACTTGTAGATTAGACCTTTAGGTGAAAGGCACAGGGAGTGGCCCATAAGCAAGCAACCTGCTTCGGTTTGGGCACCCGGACAGTATTCCAGTCCTCACGCAAATCAAATGAAGTATGGCGCATATGTATTTGATAACTCCTTGTACCAATGTTCATGTGTTTGAATAAATAGAGTGATGAACCATAAATAGGAACATTTTCTGATTTTGGGACTTTGAACATCAACTCATCGATGGAAACGACTAAACCTCGTTTCTTTCAGTCCATGTTAATAAGTCTCAGTAGGGGACTCCTATTCCTGCTGGGTTGCATATCTGGATTTCGATTACGATCTGGTAAGAGCATGTATTTTCTTTTGTCGCACTAATCGTAGAAAATTCAGTAAAATACTCATAAACTATACTTTTAACATGAAATGATCAAGAATGCATTCAGGCAAAACTACCCAAACATTTGATCACTCGTAAATAAAATGTCCAACCCGATCTGAGAGTTCTCATGATAACTACTTGGGTTCAGTCACAACCTTTTTGTGAAATTGTAGCGCCTTATTTTCCAGGTCATGCAGTTACATCAGTATTTTATGTTTTTTTACTTACGCCTGTTGCTCCTCGTAAAGGAGCGAAGGCCGCTCACCAGCATTCTCCATCCAACCCTGTCCTGGGCAACCCTTTCCAGCTCCTTCCAGTTGTTATTCATCCTTTTCATATCTACTTCTATTTCCCGACGTGATGTGTTCGTTGGACTAACTAACTCGCTAAAAACGCTCACCAGTATTTTATGTGGCAGGGTCTTTTGTCATTTTTGGGCCTATCTATCTTAGACCCTCCCATCGTAATGAGACAGCGTCACTTTTTGTGCTGCTTATCTACAGGAAGACTGGGTGACATGGCTCAGAATTGGTCACAATGGCGTAGGTATATACACTCTGTCTTCCCTGAAGAGTAAGTAATAATAACAAGAAAAATTCGTCAACTAGATTCCGTATTTTGACCTATTTGTTAGTATAAGCGAATTTCAAAACCCATTGCTTGGTTAGCCAACATTTTCTGCCCCCATGTTTATGAAATGTGTCAACCACGAATATTTTCATTTTTCCTCTTTGCTACTACGTTTATGTTTTAACAATTATCCGATAGCTTTTCTTAACCAATATTCTCTTTTAACAAGTAACCCGGAAGTTTTTTAAGAAAAATTTATTAAAATCATATATTAACCTGTAGTCTGATTCATAAGATACTAATTAACGTCTCAAATGTAATCAACTATATTAAGGCGTCAAATATTGAGGGTTTTTGAAAACACAACCTGTCTTACAGAGAAGATTTTCCACTCACTGCTATGTAAATTCTTTATCACCTATCTTAATCACTAGGTCAATTTATTACGATTAGTTGCTCATGAGGGGATACTGGACTGTGAGGGCGGCATCAGGTGCGCAGGTTACCTTGGTTTTGTGGGTAGTCTCACTATCGAGTATATACCATGCTAGCCATGAATTCATGTGGTGATGGTTCAGTGATTAGGAGCATACGACTGCCAGCCGATAAGGTTTGAACACTTTCATCTACTTCGGTCTTAGCAACCGAGTGGTATCACTAGTTCCTACATTGAGTGTGTGGATCGAAGCCAAGTATTCATATCTGTATCAGATAAATAGATAAAAACCATGAATTCTAACTTGAATATGAATAGCATTTACGCATGCTATAAAAATGTAGAGGTGTTAAAAGTTTCCCAGTGTGACTAAAATATTAACTTTAAATGAATGTAAATGTTTTGTCTGTCCTAATACTATCAACAATACTCCCAACAATCTATTTTCCCCTACGATCCCACGTTTGTTAGCAGCTGACCATTTACTTTTTTTAAAAGGAATAATCCACTTTTGACAACCATTGTGTGCTTTATAGTTTAATACTATTTGTTTAATGTTGTGATGTCCACGCCAAATGTAACATTGCCATTTAAATCTGGTTAAGAATGAAGATTAAACTCGTCAGAGCATAAAATGTTGTTTTTATTCAGATCTACTAATTATTTTAAGTTTCGTTTTATTCAGACCAATGAAGCTCATCATGTCTTGCACATGCAGTATACTAATTGGCCTGATTTTGGGATACCTAATTCTCCTAGCGCAATACTGAATTTTCTTTGGTCTGTTAGAGCTTCGGGTGCATTAAATGATCCGTGTTATCCACCAGTTATACATTGTAGTGCTGGTATTGGACGATCAGGAACATTTGTTTTGATAGATCTAGCATTAATCTTAGTAAGTTGAGTTGATTTTCAATGCTAACTATATGCCTGCCTCTACATATTCTGATGATTTTTCGTGTTTTTAATGGAAATAAAAACAGAAAACTGTTCTTTATTTTATCTTTCGGAAGAAAATGTGGACAAATTTACCCAACTTGTGAAGAATTAATAATTTAATATCTATATATTGCTTTATTTGGCACATACACTTTCATGCAATTGGTTCCCTTTATGAATTTAAATAAAGCAAGAACAAATATTGGTGCAGAATAGTATGAATTCATATTATTTTGAGGTTTCTCGTCAGCTGCTTACAAACCAAAAATGTGATAGAATTTTTACATTGAGATAAAGTGAGAACAATTGACATAAATGAGTGTAAATAACTGGGTTACAATAATAACTATATATATATATATATATGCCAGAACAGGTCAGAGGTCAAAAGGAATTAATTCGGGTTGGGTGGTGTAATAATGGAATTGAATAATCATAAGATAGGTTACGTAATAATAATTAAATAGAATTTGAAAAGTTAAGATAATTTAAGAGGATCAGGTGGTGGAAATGTGTGAATAATAATGTGGTTTAAGAATTATGTAATAGGGGAGGAGTATAAATATTTTAAAATAAATAAAAATAAAATAAACTGAATAAAAAATGAAAAAATATATAAAAAGGGTTACCAGGGTAGTGATAAGTTAATTAAAGTCTCTTTTTGAATGCATAAGTCAGGTTTAAGTTTTTTGATCATAATGGCTTCAGCAAAACGGAGGGTGGTCGTACTTCTTTGTCTATTGATAATTTTGAAAGCATGCGGAATGTCGATGGTGTGCCCAGTGTCAAGTAGATGTCGAGCTATTGTGCTGTTGAAAGCCTTAGTCCCACGCAGCCTCAAGTTTTTTGGAACATGCTCAGAAATGCGGACATGCACTCTTCTCTCAGTTCTCCCAATGTATGTGCTTTGGCACGTACATGTAAATTGGTAGATGCAGTTGGAGCTACTAAGAAAAGAGGGCTTGTCGATTTTGGTTTGTTGAAGTGAGCAGTTCGTTTGCCATACTGTCATAAGTTTTGCTGCTGGGTAGGTGACTTTCAACGCAGAGTTTATTCTGTGATTGATTATTCCAGCAATTTCATCACCTTTGAAACGTAAGTGTAAGAAGCAGGTTTTCCTTTCTACTCCATCGTATTTTGTATGAGGATTGCTTTTTGCATATTTCTGGATAAATTTCAATGGGTAATCATTATCACGTAGAACATTAGTAATCAGATTAATTTCATCATCAAGGTATTCTTTTGAACAGATTTTCTGAGCGCGGTCAAAAAGGGTTCGTACAATACCCTTTTTGTAACTCATTGGGCAGAAACTGTGGTAATTGAGATATAGACCACTACAGGTATTTTTATGGTGAATATGTCTATGTAATTTGCCATCAGATGTTCATCGGACCCCAACATCAAGGAAATGGAATTTGTCTTCAGCTTCTTGTTCCATAGTAAACTCTATGTCCTCGTGTGCTTTATTAAATAGATCGAGTAGCTTAATGGCGTGTTCGTGATTTTTGCAGACGAGGAATGTGTCATCAATATATCTGCAATACAGCGTAGTACCATCGATTACGTGCTTAAGCTTTTTTGTTCTAGGTTTCCCATAAATATATCGGCAAGAATTGGGCCCAATGGGCTACCCATGGCAACTCCATCGATTTGGCGGAAAAGGATATTATTGAATTGAAATTGTATGTTTTTTGTACATAAAAAGAGGAGCTGTTTAAAATCATGGATTGGTAGGGGTAGAAGTTCAGGATAATCACATATGATCTCTATCGTTTCTTCCAAGGGGATGTTTGTGAAGAGCGATGAGACGTCAAATGAAACCATAAATTTATCGGAAACATTTAGGTTGTCGAGTTTATGTACAAATTCAAAACTATCTTTTAGACCGTAAGGTGTTAGTTTCTTACGGATTGGTTCAAGGCACTTTGTCAGCCAGCGGGCGAGTTTATGGAAAGGCGAATTAGCCATGGATAATATTGGTCTAATCGGGATATTGGGCTTGTGAGTTTTGGGTAGGCCGTATAAGTACGGTAATTGTGATCCTTTAGGTTTAAGTTCATTGTATGTATGATTATCTATTAAATTTTTCTTTAGGAGATCCCTCAATTTATTTACAAGTCACTTCTCTGTCGTCTCTGTTAAATCTTTCTGGGTATTATCGATGATAAATCTAGTGGAATAATTTAAAGTAGACATTATTTTGCTAATGTATTCATCTCTGTTAAGAACGATTACACCGGAACCCTTATCTGGACGAAGTAGCATTATTGTTTCATCTTTCACAAGTTTTTTCAAAGCTAGTTGGTGATCTTTAGTCAACACTTTCGATTGTGGGGTTGGTGTCGTTATGTACTGGTTTGTAATGTCAACTAGTTTCGATTTCAACCAACCAGTTTCACTGTTAACTTCATCCAGTTAATTTCGGATTTTCAACCACAGCCTAATTATTATTATAACTTACATCAGTATCGGTTAAACAGTTAGCCTACCACTACTTGGTCATCTGTACATACATTTGTTTGGATTGTATGGTTGTCGTACTAAACATTGTAGAACCACTCTCAATCATCAAGCATACTAAGCGACCTTGTGAATGGGAAGTTTTTCCACAATATCTACTTCAGCAATTGTTCTCATATCTACGTCTAACCAAAATTTATTGCTTCTAAGTTAACTAGTGTATTTTTTCCATGTTTAGGTAGTTATTTTTTCTTGTGATCAAATCACTCTTTATTACGTAGGGATGCTTGACGAAAATATAGATTGCCTTCTTGTATTTCATATAAAAGAAGTATCTGGTGGTGGACTATGTAGTCCTCAAAGAATAGAATCAGTCTTAGTCAGTTGAGATATCTAAATGCACTATTCTCCACAGAGTGCAAATAGTATACCCTGTTTCACAATTGTTTCTTCAGTCAACTCGTTCTCCAACCTTTTTTATCTATCATCCATTTAGTTACTGGAGATTCACTTCTATATTTTGGAATTCCCTCACATATGGATTATGTATGTTTACCCATCTTTTAATTTTAGATCGAACAAGCGAATTCTATTTCTGGTGTTGATATAAAAATTTATTTCTTGAGTTAAGAAAATGTCGTATGGGTATTATCCAGACAGCTGACCAGTTAAGATTTTGTTATCGAGCAGTCATTAAGGCTGCGGATACTTTACTTGGTATGTCAGTTGATCAAAGACCGTTTGCCAAGGTAAACCCAACATACTTATTGAAGCCACTTATATTATTTATCTACCATAATATTTATTCCTAAGAGTTCAAATGAATCTCTACCATCCATACGTTTCTATGGGAACTTATCAGTCAATACATTTAAAAGGATTTTAAAGTAATAAGCAAAGAGGCCTCGAAATATGAAAAAGTGTGGTGATAAGACAATAGACTTCTCAGTCTTTAGAAATATTTGTAAATTGAGTGAGTTTTCGACTAGCATTGATTCTAAAAAAATGATGGTTAATAGGTCTAACATCTGACTGACACTATTTTAATGTAGTTCATCCAGTAGTAGTACGTTTGTCAGCAGCACCAAAACTGTCGATTTCATAGCTTGGCGACTAATAAACTTTTCACTTCCTAGCCCATCATTGACTTCAGTCATAGGACACGGAGAGTCCACCGAGGGGAGTTGAAAGATGCTGATTCCAAAACAATGGTGAATATGGGCTCCAGAATCCGAAGAAAACAAATAGCGTATGAACTCATCGTTGGTCACCGGCTGAGACTGCATCTCCTAACGTTGTTCCACTGTGTTGTGGATTGGACTTTCAGGTCGAAGGCTCTGCGTGTGATCCCCCAAGAAAACCACCTGTTTCGGTTTACATAGCCGAATAGTATCACAGCACAAACGCAAATCAAATGACGATTACTACTGGAAATACTATTCTTACTTCAATTAGCGTTCAGAAGAATCACGTTAACAATGATTTGATAACATCCATTTTTATGTTCCTTATATATACTACGTCAACTATATACTCCCCTCTATTCTCATTTTGTGCATTCTAATTTTTCAACTTATACAATAGCTCACCTATGGTGGAAACCCTGTCCTATCCAAACGATCTCGAGTCACTGACTGGTCGAAAGTTGAGTGATACCACCGACTACGAATAAGGAGACCACGTATACCCTTCAAACTGGCCTCCTTCAACGTTCGCACACCTATGCAGAAAGGACAACAGGTAGGGTCGGCTATTTCCTTAGAAAGCCTCAGCATCGATGTCTGTTGTCTATCCGAGACAAGTATTCAAGACTCTAGTGAAGCACTACAAATTCGCTCTTCATCTGTCGCTTCGAAAAGTTGGTTTCACGTGCGTTTATCCGGGAACCCTGTGGCATCTTTGTCTGTTTTTTTTTGGCGCTGGTATTTCACTAAGCATCAGAGTTAAGGTAGCATTAATGGATTGAATCCTCGTTACCAGTCCGTTATGTGCTGTTAGACTAGAAAGTTCCATCAAATTACGAAGACGTCGGTGTGAGAAACAATGTCTTTTCGTCATCTCCACTTATACTCCGGCAGATTGTAGCCCGGATTCTATCAAGGATGCGTTTTATCACCAGTTAACTGTTCGTTTACAGGAAGTGAGTTTGACAGATATTGTAGTACTAGCCAGAGACTTAAATGCTTAGGTCGGGCGTCTAGGCACAGAAGCGAGTCGTTTAGGTGGTCGATGGGGGCTTGTTGGTCGCAGGTGAAGGAACAGTGACTGACTACTGCAACTTTGAGTAGACTACAACCTGTTTCTGGCTAACACTCACTGCCGGCGCAGTCATCGCCGACGTGCTAATTGGAGTCCTCTTTCTGCATCTCAAGCCTGGACTCAGGTTGATCACATCGCGATCGACTATCGCTGGCGTGGTTGTGTACAAGAATGTCGCTCATTTTGGAGTGCCTATCTTGATTCTGATCGTGCTCTTGTTTACACTAATCTTATCTTGTGTTTCATACGCTAACAAATTCATCGTTCCAAATGGATCGACGTCAGCAAATTGGTTGCAGCTTCTGTTGCAACTAAATATCAAACCTAGTTAGGTTCAAGGCTAGCTACCATCCCACGGGAAAGTATAGATGAGCACTGGTTGCATTTGCATGACGCCATGAAAATGGCGAGTAAATTCGCTTGCGGCTTCGCGAAATGCCCCACTTATAAGCGCTGAATTTCTACAGGATCGTTACAACCCGTTGACGCACATCGGCCTATTCCGAGTGACTGCGAGCTTGACCATAAACGAAGATTATTATGTAATGAAATTGTGCGAAGTTTGCGTATGGACCGAGAAGCTTGGTGGTCGGAGCGTACCAACGAGTTGGAAGCAGCAGCTGCATCTTGTGACTTCCTGAAGCTCTTTCAACTCATCCGAGACACTGGCAGCAAGAAGTCAGATGTATAAAACAATCTGTCAAGCTGGCAGAATGTCAATCGATAACATCTACCGACATCTTGGACGATAGTCTGAGTTTTTCGAGCAGCAGTTTAACTGGTCTGCTGTCCCGGCGACGTCGATTAAACTGTCCTGCTCTCCATGGCAGGTGGCGACTGATCCACCTGACGAAGCGGAAATCTGTAAGGAACTCCGACTCTTGAAGTGTCACAAATCACCAAGCTCAGATGACCTACCTCTGGCCCTTTTTAAAGTGAATGGAATGTACATGACAAATGGCTGACTGAATCACCGATAAACCCTTAGTCGAGACCTTTAACGGATATCTAATTTTGTCAAAGTTAACCTACTTAAGCATACTAGAACCTGAATAGTATCATCTAATTTTAAAGTAATTGTTTTACTACAGTAGCCTAGTACATAAAAACCAGCGACGAACACCGATAAATGTACAGTTAGTATGAGTGTTGTACGGACTAATCCACGTATGAGTTTTTTTTATTGTCATATCTAAACGGATTATTTACAAGCAAACTGGAAAAATTTCATGCACAAGAAAAATAGATTTTCCATCTTTGTCATGTGAATGATAATTAGTTTGTCGTGTTCAAGCTTCGAATGTGCTTGTATGTTTAGAAATAATTGCAATCTTGACTGCACTTTAATCTTTACTAAAGATCCGTTCTGCTGATGCTTACTGTTGAGTAAATCGTTTCGAATATCTCAAGAATTCTGATTATTGCGAGATTTCATCTTACTTTGTTTTATAAGCAGGTTTTCAGTTTATGCCCTACCTTGTTTTCATTACAATTGCCAGTTTGAACCGGATAAGGAGGAAGAGGAAAATGTGTCGGAACCTTCAAGCGAAGATGATTCAGATGATATGAGCGAACAAGGCGAAGTTGAAGATCTTGCTCTGGATGATTTCGATTCAGAAGAAGATGTCGCTGTCGGTGATATCGAGACAGAACTGTTTAATCCATTGAATGATGTCGGTGTCAGGTTTAGAAATTATGAGTTTGGTTCTAGTCTTAATACCCAAAATAAAATCACTATTTCTCAGTTACGTAGTTTAAACTCTCTCATCACGTCTGAAGCTGATTCAGATCCACTCCAGTTACAAAAAGACCGATCGTCAGTTGAACAAAATCACTTGCCAGATTACTCAGACAATAATATGGTTCTAAGAAGTCAAGTATATCACGCCTTCGAAAAACCCGAAAATGGACTATCCGAATTATCCACTGCATCAAATATTCATGCAAATTCATGTAAAAGGTTAGTATACTGCAATAACACCGTTGTACACAAGGCGCAATAAAATTGCACTATATTCGAAAATATTTTTCATCCTTTCATTCATATTACAAGAGTATTTCTGTTTTAATTCTCTTGGAATATCCTATTACAGTCAGTAAGAACTATTTTATTAATTCGGCTATGTCTCTGAAATAAATTTCGCCACTGAATGGCATAACTGTTACTCCTGTAAAAAGCTACAGCTATTTATTTTTGAACTAAGCCGGTCGTCTACCTGATTTTGACAGTAATATATTTATTAGTAGAAAACGGAATCATATTCACCTGTCATTAAAACCATTCAAACGCACATGAACCAAGGCAGTGACCGTGCCTACTTCCTTGGTAGATATGTGGAGAACACATGATTAGTAGTTACTGAATGCTTTTTCAAGTTTACACTAAATGTCAGTTATAGATTACTATAGCAAACAGCAACAACGTACATATCCCTCAGTAACAACGTAGAACATTGTACGTACGTACATCAGTTCGAGTTGCCACACCACATTAGCACAGAGATGCAGTTGTCGATTCAAATCCCGTAGTGGTAGAGGTAGTAAAAGTACAACCATTAATCGGAAAGATGAGGGTTTGAAGATGTTATTTGAAGAATACAATCCAGTGAAATAAATTTGGAAAGAGAAAAAAAAGACAAGGAGGAATAAGGAGATCAAAATTTGGGAGAACACAAAGAGTGTATGCACCTGCGCCATTGCAAACGATTTTGAGCCATGTCATTCAGGGTCTCTAACCATCGGTTGCTATCATCTCGCGGTCCCCAACCAGGTAGTCTACACCTACCAACATGACTCAGTCACTTGTCAGTGACTTCATGGACTTGTGCCATGTTTTGGTCTGGCCGCCCCTAGCTTTCTTCCAACCTACTCCTATACCACTGAACATCGCACGTCGAGGCAGTCGGTCGTTGGGCATACGTAACACGTGTCCCAGCCATCTCAACTGATGAAGTTTCACTACTTCATCAATTGATTTGCCATCCTTACCTAGTACCCGTTTCCTAACAACTGCATTACTTACTCGATGGTCCCAGGATATACGAGCAATGCTTCGAAGACACCTATGATCAAATACTAGTAACCTACGAATATCCTCTACTCTTACCGGCCATGTTTCACTGCCATAAAGTAGGACGGAACGAACTGCTGCGCAGTAAACACGTCCTTTGGTTGATAGACGGATATCTCGCCTACGCCATAAATGACGCAAGTTGGCAAAAGCTAGTCGAGCCTTCTGTATCCGTGCTGAGATTTCGTCACACACCAGACCACAAGGGCTGATGAGACTTCCAAGATAAGTGAAGCGGTCGACACGCTCAACTACTTCACTCCCTATCATTAGTTCGGGTGTCGATGCAACCCAATCCTGAAGCAACATTTTGCATTTCGAGGGGAGAATCGCATCCCGAACATGCTTGCATTGTTGCTTAGAGTGGTCAGAAGACTCTGCATTTTGTCAGCGTCTTCACCAAATAAAACTATGTCATCAGCATATTCTAAGTCAACAAGTGAACCTCTCGGTAGAAGTTCAACCCCTGGAAATTTAGATGAGGAAAGTGTTATCTCTAAAAGTACGTCGACGACAAAGTTGAACAAGAATGGAGATAGTGGACAGCCCTGACGAACACCACTTGAGGTAATCAATTCTGATGACAGTTCGCCATAAGCTCTCACTCTACCAGTTGTGTTCGAGTAGAGAGCCTTTATAAGGTTAATGTACTTCTTTGGTACTCCTTTCAGTGACAAACACTGCCATAGAACCTCACGATCAACAGAGTCGAATGCCGCCTTAAGGTCGAGAAATACTACCATTGTGGGGCGTCTGAATGTGTGTCTGTGTTCTAGAACCTGACGTAGTGTGAATATCTGATCTATACAACCACGTCCAGGTCGAAAACCAGCCTGGTTTTCTCTAGTCTGCTCTTCACGAGCTTTAGTTAGGCGTCGAAGTATTATTGAAGCTAATATTTTAGACACTATATTAGTCAAACTGATTCCTCTGTGATTGTCACAAGAGGACTTTTGTCCTTTCTTATAGACTGGCACAATCAGTGATTGAGACCAGTCAGATGGGATTACGTCCAGTTCCCAAATTCTACCTAAGACCTCAGTTAATCTCACTGCTAATACTGGACCACCATCCTTAAAAATCTCAGGAGTAAACCTGTCAGGGCCTGCTGCTCTCCCTCGTTTCAGATTTCCTATGGCTTTTTCAACTTCGTAAAGAGCGGAGGACCTACATTAACTTGCCATTCAGGTTGACTGGAGATCGTGGGAAACCGAAGTGTGGCTGAAGGCCAGTTGAACTGATCCCTAAAGTGTTCTGCCCATCGATCCAATCTCCTGGATTGAGAATGTATAATATGTCCATCTTTCTCTGAGATTGTTTCGCTAACGGTCGGTTTCCTAATACCGGTTTCCTTAACGAGTCTGAACAATTGTCTGCTATTACCTATTGCCGCTGCCTTTTCCATCTCTCTTGCTTTCGCTACCCACCACTGTTCACGATCATTGCGTAGACTTCTTGTCAGCTTGCGCTTAAGCTGACTCCGCTCTTCATTATGTTCAGAGCCAGGTGGAATGAGTTTCCGAGCATCTATCAGTGCGATAGATGCTGCTGAGATCCAGTGTTGCTCCCTAACCTTCCGGTTTACCTTACTAGCAGATATCACTGCTGTTTCCACAGCTTTTCGGATATCATTCCATGCTGCATCGGGGTGGGCATCACATACATGGCTGCCTAACTGTTTTCCTAGTTGTTCCTGAAATATACTCTTAGCTTGACTATCATTAAGTAGGCCCTAAGAGGTTTCCTTGCAGCGTCTTTCCTACGTCCAGTAAGACGCAAGCAAATACGCGCTCGCACTAGAGCATGATCTGAATCTAAGCATGTGCTCCAGAATGAGCGACAGTCTTCTATCGAGCCCCTCCATCGGTGGCTGATAGCGATGTGATCTATTTGGGTCCAACGTTGGGACGAATTAGGGGGTCGCCATGTTAAAAGATGTTTTTCCTTATGCTTAAAGTTAGTATTTGCAAGGAACAGGCGGTTATCTGAGCATAGCTGCAACAGACGGTCGCCATTATCTGTTCTTTGAGCCACGACACCATAAGATCCACCCAGGTGTCTTTCCCTATCGCTTAGTTTACCTACTTGAGCATTAAAGTCACCGGCCACTATTACTACATCCGAGCGCCTAGCTTTTCGGAGAAGGTCCGAAAGCTTTCTGTAAAACTCATCTTTTACATCATCTGAGCTGCAGTCAGTGGGAGAATAGGCAGAGACGACGAAGAGGCAACGACGAGTGTCCCTATCTTTCCGGATTCTTACTGTTCCGTTCAGTCGGACAGCGCACAAACGACTGTCTACTGGGATCCACTCTAAGAGAGCTAGTTCTGCCCTAGGACTCAATGCTATACCTACGCCGGCGAGGCCACGGGAAGCAGAATCAGGGCTTCCAGATACACGAAGTGTGAATCGAGTCGGTTCTTTATTTTGGCATGGTGAGGTCAAATGAATGACGCTACTCGGATCCTGTATGCGCGTTTCGGAGACGCAGCACACATCGATGGCGCGAGATTCTAAAGTCCTAGCCAGTGTTCGGACGTTAAAAGCTCCTACGTGTAGTTTAGAGCGTGGTTTCAGGAGACCAGGAATAACGTTCCACGTACTCGAATCGTTTGCCCTAGCGGTGCGAGGTGATAAAGGGACGTGAGGAGGGTTAGTCATGGAGATAAGAGAGGTATTAGGAGGTGTAGGAAGGATTTGAATGTGACCAACTTGGTCTCGTGTGCTGTTACGGGTATGAGGGCTGATGTCACTTCCCGGCTGCCCACACCGTGGAAGGGTATTTCTTGAGGAACCTGAAAAGGAAATTGGATTAGTGTTGGTCTTAACGACCTGGGAGCGTGACCGCAGAGCCCAAGGGACAACTGCTTGAGGCCGGTCGCGCACGGCCTTTTGTGGAAGGTTTTTGGCGTGTTAGCTCCTTTTTTCAAAGGGCCTTACCGCCGGAGACGGAAATCCGTGAGGTAAGGTGAGGTGTGACATTTTTAGGGTCGACCTTTTCTAACCCCTTCCTTCGTTGTGAGAAGGCAGCATCGCTGCAGATGCTGGTTGTCCGAGGGAAACACCTTACTGCTGTCACATTCCTCTACAGTCAGCAGTACGACTTCGCCCTCAGACCTTGAGTTGCTGCTTTTAGTCTTACCGTTCTCCAATCGACCTGCCTGGCATGGTAGAACCTACAGGAGCATATGTTCCAGCCAATATAGCTCGGTTGGGTCATCACGATAGGCAAGCCCGACCCCCGTGTCAAGGTAGCAGCTTCGGTTGTGATATGTTCTCGAACTAGAGCATGGTTTAAGTTTAAACATATACTTTATTATTAGCAATAGTCTTCTATCGAGCCCCTTCTACAATGGCTGATGGGAATGTGGTGTATTTGAATCCATCATTGAGGCGACTGTGGGGGGTCGCCACATTAGACGATGTTTTTACTTATACGTAAAGTGTGTGCTTGCTTGAAATAGGTGATTATCCGAACATATTTGCAGCAATCGGTCACCATCATCTGTTCCCTGAGCTGTGGCAATGTGAGATCTGCCTAAGTGCATTTAGGTTCGGTTTAGTCCACCTGTTGAGCGTTAAAATCACCTTCCACCATAGCTTATAAAATTCAACTTCATCTGAACTGCAATCAGTGTTATCATAGGCAGAGACAACGAAAAGGCAACGGTATGTGTGTCAATATCTTTTCATGTTCTTATTGTTCCGTTTAGTTGGACAGCTCAAATGCAACTGTCTGTAAGAATTCAGTCTAACAAATCTTGTTCTGCTTTCGAATACAATGATTTACCTATACCAGTGAGGTCAAGGGAAGTAGCCGTAAGGTCTCCAGACACACGAACTAAAGTGAAACGAATGTCCGTATGCGCGTTTCGGAGACGCAGCATACATCGATGGCGCAATAATCTAGTCCGGTCTAAAGAAACCTGTTGTTCTATCTGACGCACACACACACTAGGTTCAAACATTAAAAGCTCCAACATGTAGTTTGGAGTGTGGTTTCAGGAATAACATTTCGTGAACTTGAATCATTAGCATTGTTAGCTCGGGATGATGAAGTTGTACAAGAAGGATTACTTTTGGGAATGAATTAGTAGGTGAGGTAGGGATTTGGTCACAAACTGATCTCGAGATTCGTTAGAAGTATGAGGGTGGTTGTCATCCCCCGCTGCTCACATCGTAAAAGGATATTTCTTCATAAGGGACCTGAAACGAAAACTGGATTTGTGGTGGTCTTGGCGACGTGGGAGCGTGACCACAGAACCGTAGGAACAACTGCTTGAGTTCGGTCACCTCGGACATACAACTATGTTGTCTGACTCATGACAATTCACTACATACCCTTACATAAGTGGCATCAAATAGAAGGGATTTTGTAGGGTGATCTACTTGTTCGAAACCTCCCAGTGTAAATGTGACCATCAAGCGATACGGTTGGTCTGACAGTATTGCACTTGTTCTGTTTTTAGATTTTCAGGAAGCTAAACGTTCAGACGTAGTACTCGTAGCAGATGACTTTAATGTCCAGGTCGGTAATTGAAACCAAACAGAAAGGCATTTAGGTGGCTATTTTAGTATTCCGGCACAGCGAAAAGATAATGGTGATCGTCTATTGCAATTGTGTTCAGACAGTCGTTTATTTGTAGCAAACTGATTTAAAGCATAAGGAGAGACAGTTTGACATGGCGACCCCTTGCACGACCGATGGACTCAAATAGAAAATATTGCCATCAGTCATCGCAGGAGAGGCTTGATAAAAGACTGTCGCTCATTCTGGTGTACCTGCTTGGACTCCGACCATGCTCTAATACGGGCACGTATCTGCTTGTGCCTCACTGGACGCGGAAATGCCACACTAAAAAGACCCATTAGAATTGAATTGAGTAATGGGAAAACCAAAAGTCCCAGGAACAACTGAGGTCACATTTAGGTAGTACTGAAAACGAGGCTGACCCAGATATTGCTTGGAAAGATATACAAATATCTGTGGAAACACCAGTGACACCTGTTAATTACTTGAACCAAAGAGTTACAAAAAACCAATGGATTTCCTCTAAGTCTATTGCACTAATGGATTCTCGTAAACTCATCCCATCAGGCTCTAAACACGATAAAGAGCGAAAACAAATCAGATCTAGGTTAAACAAAAGTCTAAGGAATGATCGTGAGCAGTTGTGGGCAACGAAAGCAAAATAGATTAAAAAGGCGACTGCTGTAGGTAACGCAAGATAGCTCTACAAACTAATAAAAGAAACAGGAATTAATAAGTCAAGTGTGAGACTATTTCGCAAATAGACGACACTCTTATCTGCTCCCAGTCCAGACGTTTAGAACGATGGACGGAACATTTCAAGGAGCATTTCAGCTGGCCCTCAGCTAGTCTACAACTACCCTCCATCCCCAGACATTGAAGTAGGTCCCCCGACGCTAGCTGAAGTCCAGAAAGCTATAGCTAATCTGAAACGAGGAAGGGCAGCTGGTTCAGATGGATTGGCTCCAGAAGTCTTTAAAGATGGTGGTCCAATTTCAGCGATTAAATTGACTAATATTTTAGCTAAAATCTGGGAGTTGAACGTAATCCCATCTGACTGGTCACAGTCACTGATTGTCCCAATACATAAGAAAGGGTCAAAATCATCCTGTGATAACCATAGAGGGATTAGTTTGAATAACATAGCATCTAAAATACTTGCATCAATAATTATCGGACGCCTAACTATGACTCGTGAACTGCAAACACGAGAAAAGCAGGCTGGCTTCAGACCTGATCGTAGCTGCATCGACCACATATTCACCATTCATCAGGTTCTAGAACATAGGTATGCTTATCGGCGTCCGACAATTGTGGTCTTTCTTGACTTAAAAGCAGCATTTGACTCCGTAGACCGCGAGATTCTGTGGCAGTGTCTGTCATTGAAAGGCGTACCTCAGAAGTACATAAACCTTGTGAAGGCTCTTTACTCGAACACTACCAGTCGAGTCAGAGCTTATGGCGAACTGTCGTCTGCTTTTGCAACCTCAAGTGGTGTCCGTCAATGCTGTCCACTTCCTCCATTTTTGTTTAATTTCATCATAGACCTATTGATGGAAATAACATTCTCGTCGACTGAATTCTCCGGTATTGATCTCCTTCCAGGAGGTTCACTTATCGATTTAGAATACGCAGATGACGTAGTTCTCTTTAGTGAAGACGCTGATAAAATGCGGAGTTTTGGTAGCACTGAGCAACAATGCCAGAATGTTTGGGATGCGTTTCTCTTCCTCTAAATGCAAATTGTTGCTTCAGGACTGGCCCGCGTCAACACCTGAACTAAGGATAGGGAGTGAAGTAGTCGAACGCGTTGACAACTTCACTTATCTTGGAAGTCTGATCAGCCCTAGTGGGTTGGTGTCTGGTGAAATCTTTGAATGGATTCGGAAAGCTCGTTTGGCTTATGCCAACTTACGTCACCTTTGGCGAAGGCGAGATATCCGTCTATCAATAAAAGGACGAGTATACTGCGCGGCAGTCCGTTCTGTTTTAATTTATGGCAGCGAAACATGGCCATTAAGAGTAGAAGACACCCGTAAGCTACTAGTATTTGACCACAGATGCCTTAGAAATATTGCTGGCGTCTGCTGGGATCACCGGGTAAGTAATAGTGAGGTTCAACGCAGGGTATTAAGGAATGATGGCAAATCAGTTGATGAGGTTGTGAATCTTCATCAACTGAGATGGTTGGGCCACGTATTACGTATGCCTGAATACGATTACCACGACGTGCAATGCTAACCGGTGTTGGGGATGGTTGGAAGAAAGTTAGGGGCGGCCAAACCAAAACGTAGCATCAGTGCTTGCAGTCATTAACTTCTAGTCTGAGCCATGTTGGTAGATGCAGACTACTTGGTTGGGGTCCGCGTGACTATCATAATCAATGGTTGGAGACTGGGTGATATGGCTCAGAATCGATCACAATGGCGTAGGTGTATACACTCTTTGTCTTCCCTTAAACTACGAGATTAAAATCGCTTCATATCTTTCTATCTACGAACTAATTCTTTCTTCCTGTACTATATCCTTATATGAAACCTTTCTTTTGTATATTATCACCTCTGAATTAACTACTTTCATGAATCCGGTGTTCGTCTTGTGCTAATGAGGTATGGCAATTTGGACCGATGCACATATGTGCATGGTCCTACGTTGTAACTGACTGAGATTTTCCACAAATTGATCTATCTCATTATGAGTGTATTTTTAATTCGTTTATTGTCAATTGTTTTCTACGTTACATGTTTACTTTTTTCTATTATTCATCAAGAAATATTAATGAATGCCGTTATTATTGATTGTCATTTCAGGATTAATAATGCTTTACCAACCAGTCAAATAGAACCATTTCTTTCAAGATACGAGATTAGTAAAAAGAATCCTATTTTGTCTACGCTTTCTACATCGCATTCAGTCACACCTAATTTCTATCCAAATAATACTATTTCGCGTTCGTTGCACACTATAGGATCGAACGTATCTTATTAAATAATAGTTCTGAATTTGAAGATAATTCCGACTCATATACCAAAGAATATTTAGCTGCTTCGATAGATTTACATGAACGTCGTACTGCTCGTCTAGCTCGACAAGCCAGAATGCGTGCACAAATCGAAGTCATACGTACACGAATGCGTGAAACAGATATGACACGCAAAAGATGGCTTCCAACTCATGTGCTCCAGTATCTCCGCCGATTTTATGCAGAAAGCGGATATGTAAAAAGTAAAACTGGTGCCGTAATCAGCAGTATCCTTGTAGTTGCCGTTATAAGTTTCGGTACAATTGCTTATATCTACTGGTAATTCTACTGATTAAAATTTAATCTCATCTTTAACACTAGATAAATAAATCTTATCGACGCTCAATTTATTTTATCAAGGACTATGTCTTCTCCCAACTACTATACGTTCAAATACTTCATGTAGTTCCTTCTCAGGTGACGATATCTGTTTATCTATAATATCAAATAATAAATGTCGTTGATACTTGGGTTATAAACATGAACCTACTCACAGACATAGGTATATGTTATTGAGACTTAAAAGCTAATCTCTCACTTTTTTTGCATTTCTTATTTATGAAAAGTGTTCCCACATTCTAATTTATATTGTTTTAAAATTAACTGATTTTGCCTATACATAATGTACTTCGTATTTTATAAAACCACAATGTTTAAAAAATAACCTATCATCATGATCATGCAATTATCTTACATCTATTCACTTGCTTCGGTATTATTTTATTCTTTGAGCTCTGTAACACAGAAGTCACAATGTGGTTACATATCTAACCAGTTTCTTATTTGATCCATTGTAATTATTCTGCTACGATGTATGCAATTCAGATAAACAAAATTGTACACACGTACTTGTAATAACAAATATACTTTCATCCCTTTACCTCCCTAATAAAAAATCTGATCAAATTATCTTTAAATGTACGAATAACGAACTAAAACGGCTTAAAATGTTGTGCGATATTTTCACTAATTCAATTTATGACAGCCTAAATTTAGGGCAATAGAACTGTGAATTGTACACTGATAAAATCAAACCTAAATGTGAACACATTATTACCATCGAATAAGGTACTCGAATGTCAATTTTTATTTTATCAGCATTTCAGTTCATTCACACATCACACCATTAGTTATTAATCATATGGATTGACGCATGATCTCCATGGAACTCTTTCCCTTCTATTCCAACTGTCATAAACACAAACAGTATTTTCTAATTCGGAAAATTGTTGTTGTTTTCTATGATTTCATGTAAAACCAAATGAACTTAACGCCGTTCATTTCCACATGATATACTGTGCACGATTGCTGAGTGTTGATAACAAGAAGTGTCAGTTATTTATCGGTTATTATGTAGTATATTCAAGTTCCTTAACACATAATGAATATTTTTACAGGAACATATTCACAAATGCGTACTTACCAGAAAAATACCTGATTGCATCAATAACCTGGATGATTTAATAAAACATCTAATCCTAGCAGAATTACAGGTTTCTATCTGTAGCCTTTTTAACGAAAGGAAACATTATAAGTCATATTCGCCGAAATCCTGAGATTATGAAAGGAAACAAAAGCTAAATCGATAATGACAATTAGCTAGACTGATCTATAATTTGTTCATGGTCTTTAAGACAATTCCAAATAACCGTAAAATCACTATTTCAGGAACTACCTCGAAAACCACTCGGTAGTCTAAAGATTTCCAAAATGATAGAAACGCTACTCGGTATACTTGTAAGTCTCATCTAGCACGTTGTAAAGGTACTCATATCTTGGCAAAACAAAAACGTCTTTCGTGAAATGTTTCAAAATAAGAATTAAAAGGTTTATCTTGTTTACAAAAATATATAACAATAATCACCACGGTGGATAAGGAAGATACAGCGGTCTTTTGCAAAGAAAAACGAATTTGTTGAATTGTATATTCTATACAACTAGCCCCATAGAAGCGATTGAATTTCTTTGCACATGCGAGGTGGATTTAGACAGTCTGTCACTATTGGTGGTTCTCGTCATAAGAATATTGTTGTCGACCGCATTCAATTTGGCTGGAGTAAACGTTTTCTGAAGCAGTTTTGATTTGTTCTACGCTATTTAAATTTGTGTTGATTTCAATGCAGTTGTTTACTTATTCTCTGAAGAAGCAACTTGCCTCAAGTTGTAAAAAGTCAGGAATTTAATCATTTATTCACTGGGTTGTTACAATTATATCATTTTATTATATGGTAGATTATTCATGCATAGATGAATATAGAAAAGCTTTATTATAACCATCTATTATGTTTCAAATTATTCAGAAGTCATCTATTTTGAAATGTTTAGTTTAGGAAGGTCATACTAGCTTTCCTAAAACAATCATCTAACCGAAACTGAACAGTGTATTAGGCTCACTTATTGCATCTTATTAGTTTTATTTACAAGATCGTGTTATTTGTTTCCATAAAATTGCATACCACCAATTGTGCTTGACTACAGAATATCTACCGTAAAATGTTTTTTGTTTATTTGAACACAAACATTAGCAAAAAGGGCACCGAATACATATGCGCCACACGATAACAATGAGGCTGTAAAGAGGTAGAGAATGTAAAGTGCGTATAAGAAAAAGAAAACAACAACGAACAGAAACTAGTGTGTAAGTGTAATAATAAAAATAAAAGAAGCAGTTCAGTTAACAAAAATATAACCAGAAAGCATTCTTCCAGTTAAACAGGTTACGTTCATTTTTATGAAGAAAGTGAAGGTAACAACAGGATCACCAGTGGTAACGTCTCGAGCCACTGTGTTTCACCATCTCTAGTAACCCAACCAAGGAGTTGTGAAGGACCAACAGAAACCAGTCCTGTACAGATCTCTTTCATATCACAACACCATGTCATACACTGACCACCTCTCTGCTTTTTCCAACCGATCACAGCATCGACAAGCAATGCACGACGTGGAATTCTCTCGGACGACATTCGTAGAATACGTCCAATCCACCGAAGTCGATGTTTCAAGATAGTGACACTAATTGAAATATCGTCACTGTGCCCGAACACACGATGCTAACATGGTGTTGACACGATGACAGCAATTCTTCGAAGTCAACAATGATCAAACAAAGTCGTCTAACATCCTCAACTCGGGGAGGCCAGGTCTCACAGGCATAGAACAAAACTGTTCTCATCGACGTGTTTTATATCCGAACTTTCACATCCAGACTAACATCACGAAGGCGACAAAGATGGTCCAGATTGGTATAAGCCGCTCTGGCTTTCACTATACATGGATCGATCTCGTCGTTCACGCCACCACCAGCACTTACGCAGCTACCCATCAGATACACGAACTTCTCGACTACTTCTATCTGCTCACTATCCAGGGTGAGTGCAGGGTCAGGGGCCTACCAGTCCTGTAAAAGTACTTTACATTTCGAAAGTGCAAAGCATATGCCATACCAACGGACACTAATTGCCAACTGATTAAATGCGGATTGCATGGCTTGGGTATTATCGCACAGTAAGACAATATCATCGTCATATTCCAGGTCGATAAGTCTTTCTCCAGACAACAGGTCCACACCATCATTACCTCCATCCATCAGAACTGTTTCCAGAACGTCATCGATAGCAAAGTTGAAGAGAAATGGTAAGATTGGGAAACTCCGCCTAACCCCACTGCTTGAATGGAACAATGGAGAGAGGTGGTTGTATGCCCTCCCTCTGCCTGAGGTGTTTGTATATGGAGCACACCCTTCCTCAATAGACAGTCTCAGATGACAGTCCTGTCCAACGAATCGAGGGCGGGCCTAATGTCACTATGGTTGTTGGCTTGTGATGAGTATGACGGTGTTCTAACATTTGGAGGAGGGTGAAGATATGACCAATACATCCTCAACCAGAACAAAAACCAGTCTGCTCCTCACCAGTCAATCTTCCTAAGGTTTTGAACAATCTACGAAGTATGACAGAAACTAATAGTTTGGACGCAATCGGAAGTAGACCTATCTCCTGATAGTTGTTACAGAAACGACGTGAATTCTTCTCGAAGATAGGGGCAACTATCGACTCATTCCATGATGTTGGAACACACTCTCTCTCTAGTTGCCAGACATTTGTCAACAACTCAGTCAGTTCCTTAACTATAAAGTCACCAACATCTTTAAAAAGGACTAGAGGTAGGTCATCTGAGCTTGGTGATTTGTGACACTTCAAGAGTCGGAGTTCCTTACAGATTTCCGCTTCGTCAGGTGGATCAGTCGCCACCTGCCATGGAGAGCAGGACAGTTTAATCGACGTCGCCGGGGCAGCAGACCAGTTAAACTGCTGCTCGAAAAACTCAGACTATCGTCCAAGATGTCGGTAGATGTTATCGATTGACATTCTGCCAGCTTGACAGATTGTTTTATACATCTGACTTCTTGCTGCCAGTGTCTCGGATGAGTTGAAAGAGCTTCAGGAAGTCACAAGATGCAGCTGCTGCTTCCAACTCGTTGGTACGCTCCGACCACCAAGCTTCTCGGTCCATACGCAAACTTCGCACAATTTCATTACATAATAATCTTCGTTTATGGTCAAGCTCGCAGTCACTCGGAATAGGCCGATGTGCGTCAACGGGTTGTAACGATCCTGTAGAAATTCAGCGCTTATAAGTGGGGCATTTCGCGAAGCCGCAAGCGAATTTACTCGCCATTTTCATGGCGTCATGCAAATGCAACCAGTGCTCATCTATACTTTCCCGTGGGATGGTAGCTAGCCTTGAACCTAACTAGGTTTGATATTTAGTTGCAACAGAAGCTGCAACCAATTTGCTGACGTCGATCCATTTGGAACGATGAATTTGTTAGCGTATGAAACACAAGATAAGATTAGTGTAAACAAGAGCACGATCAGAATCAAGATAGGCACTCCAAAATGAGCGACATTCTTGTACACAACCACGCCAGCGATAGTCGATCGCGATGTGATCAACCTGAGTCCAGGCTTGAGATGCAGAAAGAGGACTCCAATTAGCACGTCGGCGATGACTGCGCCGGCAGTGAGTGTTAGCCAGAAACAGGTTGTAGTCTACTCAAAGTTGCAGTAGTCAGTCACTGTTCCTTCACCTGCGACCAACAAGCCCCCATCGACCACCTAAACGACTCGCTTCTGTGCCTAGACGCCCGACCTAAGCATTTAAGTCTCTGGCTAGTACTACAATATCTGTCAAACTCACTTCCTGTAAACGAACAGTTAACTGGTGATAAAACGCATCCTTGATAGAATCCGGGCTACAATCTGCCGGAGTATAAGTGGAGAT